AGAGAGAATTAGAGATAGAAAGAGTGGGCATGGGGAGAGTACCAGAGCACCCCAGACCAAGAACCAGCATGCGAGAGGGTGGATCATGATAACTGAGATATGAAGTGAACACCTCTAACTATGAGCTCAGTCCATGCCGGGTATCTAGTAAGCGCTACCCGAATGTTTATTTGACGAATAAATGGAATGAATTAATGAATTCTTGTGTGCCTGTTTGCAGGATACAAGGGGATTTCAGGAAAACCTGGTGAAATCTAATGGACTAGGCTAGGGGCGTTCAACTGTCCACAGAGAAACTTGAAAAGGGGGGCGGGGAATCCACAGAATAACCTCATCTCCCCCTCTCCCAACCAGCCCACAGAGTGAAAAATTAAAATTCAGCCTCACCTAGAGCCGGAGACGCCATTGCCGTCATGGGGCCGGTGGGATCCAGCTGAAATCCGCTCATCATGAACTGGGCGTCGGAGGCGGGGCTGTCCATCTTGAGGTTGGGCAGACTCATGTTCTGGGCCAGGTAGTACTGGTAGAGCTCTGCCTCGGCCGGGGAGGGCAGGGCCCCCAGGCCCAGGTGCCGGTTGTGTTGCATCTGGGTCATATTCTGCTGAAGCAGCATCATATTGTGCATGTGCTTCTCACTGGTCATGTGGATGCGGAGGTTCCTGGCCACGTTTGTCTCATAGTCGCACACCTCACACCGCCAGGTGGGCTTGGTTTTTGGTTTGGTGGGGGAGGGGGCCCCGCAGGTACTGCCAATGTTCGCGGCCGCAGCCGCGGCCACCGCAGCCGCGGCCGCCGCCCCGGCGGTGTGACTGAAGACTTGCTCTCCCCCTCCGTTCTGCAGGTTCTGCATGTTGTTCAGATGCTTGTCAGACTGCATATGAATACTGAGGTTGCCTTTGGTAGTAGTAGAGTAGTTGCAGACCTCACAGCGGAAAGGCTTGTAACCACACGTGTAGCTCTCGCCTCGTGCCAACCGCGGGTGAGGCTGCCCACTCTTGCAGTAGACGCACGAGCCGCCAGGCTCCGGGTGCTTCTCCTTCATGTGCGCCTCAAGCGTCTGCTGGTACTTATAGTGCCAATTGCACTTGGGACACTTGAGCGTCTTACACGAGTTACGAGAATGCATCATGGTCATGTGCCCCCCCAGGGAGCGCGAGGAGCCCAGGACCGTGTCGCACTTGGGGCACTCCACGCCACTCCCCGAGGGGCACTCCCCCGCCCCAAGCTCACAGAGGGTTCCAGCGTGCTGGTGATGGGGGAGGAAGCCCCCATCGTCCCCCTCTGCGCTTTCATTTGGTTCTGGTGCTGCAGCACTGTCTTTACTGGCACTTTCATCAATGAAGTCCAACCTCCTGCTGCCCTCTGCCACACTGGCCCTGACACCCTCGCTGTTAAAGCTTAACCGATTCCTCCTGTTTGCACCATCAAAGACAACAAAGGAAGAAGCAGAATTAGAACTAGTAGAAGCTGCGCTCCTCGACAAAGTCTGGAGCATGTTAGGCATTAAGGGAGAGTTAGAAATGCTTTGGTTTGAGAGAGCAAGGTCATTTTTGTTGCTGCCACCTGCCATGGCCCCAGACTCCTCATGGGGCCGGTCCTCCAACTCCTCCTCCAACTCGCCTGGAAAGAGTCCTTTGCAACCCTCATCTTCCTCCTCCTCCTCCTCCTCCTCCTCATCTTCCTCTTCCTCCTCCTCCTCCTCTGCATCTTCCTCTTCCTCCTCTTCCTCCTCCTCCACGTCCTCGGCTGGCTCCGCCTTCTCTGAGAGGCTATCCCGGTCACCCACTTCTTGCTTCTCACCCTCTGCCACCCCAGGGTCCTTGCCCTCTGAGGATTTGGCAGGACTGGAAGCCAGGGGGCCCAGGGGGACTGAGGTAATTGGGGTCTTCAGAGCCGAGCTGGTCAGCCCACCAAGGTTCAAGAGGGTCCCGGGTGTCAAGAGGCCTGACTGGGGCTGCTCTGCGGCACTGGCCGAAGAGCCCTGGAGCACCTCCTCCCCTTCCATCCGAATGCCGCTAAATTTACCATAAAAGCTGTGTCCGGGGCCTATGAGGTTAGCTGCAGAAACTAAGGGGTGTTGAAAGTTTTTGGTTTTTGGTTCCAGAAAACTTACAAGGGGTTCCTTGTCTTTGCCTATTCCTTGGATGATAGCGGAAATGTTCTTATTACTAAGAATTTTCCTCTCTTCTTCACTCAGGGTCATTCGATGGTCATGCACCGCATGGGTCACAAACGAGCGGACGTATCCAAAGGAGAGCTTACACAAGAAACACATGAGAATGGGCTTCCTCTTCCCATAGAGCACAAAGCCGTCAAACTTGGACAGGTCCACATTGTTGGGGACATCTTTGGATACACAGGAGCTTTTGGCAGAACCATCGCTGTTCAGGTAATCCTTGTTGCTTTTATGTCGCACATCAAAAACGCGGAAGCTGTGCAGGACGGGGCTGATGCCCGTCAGGGCTGAGGTATTGGGGAAGGACTGGTCTGAGCCCTCAAACCATTTCCCGAAGGATGAGGCTATGTGGAAAGTATTGATGATCTGTGGGTAGACTGGTGCAGCGGAAGAGGGCTCCCCCTGTTTACCCCCAGCACTGGGGAGAGAGTTCAGAAAGAGCGACGGGAGAGCCCCACTGCCGCTGCTACAGGCTCCCCCACTTTGGATCAACTGGCTGACACTTTCGACAATGTATGCCGAGCCATCTGGCTGGTAGACTATCTCTCCAGCTAGATTCTCCACATCACTCTCCTCATCACCCTCCTCACTGGTGTCACTCCCACTTTCCTCCCTCAGGGGAAGAGGGGGGCGGGCGCTGGGGCAGTGGTGCTCCATATAGGTCTGTAAACTGGCAAAGGAGGCCGAGCATTCGTTGCAGCTGACCTCTTTGCTAGCGGGCTCAGCGGTGGGGCCAGCCGGGTTGGTGCTGTCCGGGATGCGCTCATTGAAGGGGGCCCTCAGGCTGTCTAGGGGCCCGTGGTTTTCTGTGGTGGACTGCTCCATACTACTGGGTTTGTCAGGGAGGTGGGTGCTGTTGAGTTCAGTCCATTGCTGGTGCTGAGGGATACTACACCCATTGTCCTTCCCAGGGATGACAGGCGAGTCACAGCCTTCCATGGTAAGGCCTGCATGGAGCTTTCATTGCACCCAGTACGGTTCGGACCTGAAGAGAGCAGAGAGGGGGAGAGGAGAGAGAGAGAGAGAAAGAGAGAAAGAGAGAAAAGGAAGAGAGAAAGGAAAGATGTTAGGAGGGCAAAGGCTAAGATTCCACACAGAGCACTTTTAAGATGTTTCTAACTATACCCAATATAGTAGCTAAATCTCACAGAATAGGCCTAGAGAGGAGCAAAGATCCTAATAAACCCCAAAACCACAACGTCCGAAGGCGATAATAACAGGGCATGTTCCTACAGGTGTCCATGCTGTGATAAGTAGTCAAGGGTCCAAGGAAAGAAATACAAGAAATGACTGTTTCTGCTTCCATTACCCCCCTGAAGATCGCCCCCAAAAGAATTTCAATTCTTTAGGGACATACTGTTAGTGGAAGAGCCAGATGATAAGCACTAGCAGAGGAAAAAAGACTTCATTCATTCAAACCCCAAATCAAAAGCTAATAGGAATAAAAGCTCACTCATCACTAGTCGAAAAACAAAATATTTCAATCAAGGAAGTCAAGAATGAGATTTTGTGTATATGGATGATCCCCAGAAATCAAAGTACTTTCGGCTAACTGATTTAAAATGATTTTTAATATCCACCTTTCTACATTAAAGTCTTACCGATGTGTCTAGGTACAGGACACCTTACTTAAGTGCTCTCTACTTACTTAGCTCTGTAGGCAGCTACCTAATTCAAACTCAACAACTTTGTGATCCCTCATTTTCTCAAAACCACATTAGCCCTGGCCCCATTTACCAAATGGGAAAACCGAGGCACCAAACTGAACCAATTGCTAGATGACATTCTGCCCTTTCCTGTCTGTCCATCCCTGATGTCTTCACCAGACCACATCTTCTAAAATGTACATAACTGAAGTATGAAACATTTGAGAAGGATGAAATGTTCACATTTCTGGAGAGAACATACTACCGTCTAATTGGTGACGCCCCTTTCTCGACTGTATACATCCCTGCATTCTTAGTGAAAAACTTTGATTCAGACATCCTGGTATCATTTGGCTGCTTTTCTGTCGAGAGTCTTTACTGACCCAGAGACACCAGCTGTGCTTAGCAATCATTCGGTTCCACACCTGCCTCTCAGTTCTCATACAATAACCAGGCAGCTGTCCTTCAACCCCGAGGCTTTTCCATTTCAGAGAGGAAAGTATCATTGAAGTGAATTTGCCCTTTGAGAGACATGCATCCCTAGGGAGAGCAGCATCAGATTTCCCTCCATCACTCCATCTCTCCTATGGCATCCACATCACAGGTGCATTTATTCACTAGCCACAGTGCTCCTGCGAGCAACTACTCCTAGCACAGACCTGATCTCTTTAACCCAGAGATTCCAAGTCACTGCTTCCACAGCACTCTTGCCCCTCCCTCCCTGGGTACAAGTGCATATCATCTCATTCATCCCCAGAAGAGGAAAGTTGTGGGGGGAGTCTTGGAGTGATTTGTGGGGACTCTGGGTTGGTTGGAGTGGTTGGTTTTTTTGGGTGACTTGTGTGTGTGTGTGTGTGTGTGTGTGTGTGTGTGGTTTTATTCCCCCTTCATTTTTTCAAATCCTGGTCCTAGCCTATAGAGTAAGCCAACAGCTCCCCCTCGGGAAAGGATTGGGAACACAGTTTAAAAGTCTCTAGGGAAAGAACTTCTTTTGCAATAAAGTGACAGGCTTTATTTATCTAAACACACACATGCACAGAGCCGCCACGCCTATTTATTGGAGCTCTCTCCAGCTCCAAGACGACAAAAGATCATTGTCTCTTGTAAAAAGACATCACACTGTTCCTGGTTTTAAACAGGGATACTCTCTGATCAAAAGAGAAATCCAAGGGAAGAACGAATTCCTTCTAACAAGGCTCAACTCTGGTGCAAGTGAGGAGCTGGAGGGTGACTCCCTTTCAGCACGGACGTGATTGGCTGAAAGGCCCTTGATTGACAACTCGAGCCCAAAAGGTTGGTAGGGCTGAAGGGGTGGGAGGGTTAACAGCCTGATTGTAAAATCAATGTCATAAATGCTTGGTAAGTTACAGGAACATGCGGGAAAGGGAGGCCAGGATTGATAAAGGAGTGCGGCTTTGATGCTGCACTGGGGACTTGTTTATTGACAGGAAAGCCAATCTCCTCTCCAGGCCAGGCCAGGCCAGAGAAACCTGCAAGCGTTTACCAATTAATTGGTGGGCTTTTCTTCCTCTGCTTCTCTTCTCCTCCCCCTCGACAAACTGTCCGGTGAAAGAGCTATGAGTTTAAAAATATTGCCCTGGTAGAAGAACCCCTCCAAACATCTTATCGCTTCCTCCCCAGTCTCCCCCCCTCCCCACCTCTGCTTCCTCTTTTTAGGACAGATCTGTGGACATCTGGGAATACAGCCTCTTCCCAAGGCTGTCAAGTTTTTATCTGGGTACATCCAGCACCTAACATGGCACACAGAGACACCAGGAGACATCACAAGGGTTGGCTGAATTGCATTAAGAACAGAAGAAAACAAGTTCTTCCAACTTGGATTAGCTACATGATAGTTCCAACAGTCACCAGCCCTAAAATAGTGTGATGCTGTGATATCCAAGAATCCCAGCATCGTTGGGAGCCACTGTTCCAAGTTAGCTCAAAACTTTGGAGGGAATGCTCCCATGTGGGGTTCCAAACTATCAAATCTGCAACTTTTTGTAACATCTGCACCACTTAGAGAAAACTAGTTATCTAAGTTAACAGGCAGGTGGCATTATTTCAATACTATTTGTATTCTTGGGGGGGGGGGGGGAAGGGAGATTGTGAGAAGTATAGGGTATGGGGAGGGGAGACGGAGACTATCATCTGATGCCAACACCTTTGCGCCTCTAACACTTTCCCATCCTCTCCCTCATCCCACAGGCTCTCTTGGCTCTCCTGCTCTGTTCATCAGCCAGTCAATAAGACAAAGGTAGTTCTTACTTAAGGAGGCAGGAGTCAACTCGTCAGGTCGATCAGCACTCTGTCTGTAAACACGGTTTCCCGTAAAATCAATGATCTTCAGTTACAGAGAGCAGTCTGAGAACCCAAAGAGTCCCTGGGCTTCCACCGGCTACACAGTCAGCTGGAGTTAACAGCCCCTTTTGTTCAACCACTCCTCCGGCCTCTTAGCCCCTTTTCTCTCCTTTCATTACCTTTCGTTTCACTCCTTCATTACAATCTCTCGGCCCGCTTCTTTTCCTTTAAAGCCTCCCCTACTCCAGAACACTTGTCAAAACCAAAAAAGACTTGAGTGTGGTAAGTTAGAGCATAGAGCGTGCATCATTTACACAGGACCAGGCCCTTACATCTATATACCTCCAAAGGTACCACCTGCAGAAAAGTCCTCAAGAACAGCAAACAGATCTGTCTCCCCAAAACAGGACCTAATATCTTCACCCAGAAAGAGCCTCCCTGTGGCATTTCTAGTTTCCTTGGATACTACCTGCCTGCTCAATGCATTTTTAGCAAATATCAGTCTTTACTTTTCACTCATCTGATATCTGGGACCACAAGACAACATCTACCACCTTGTTTACTCCCCAATATAGCCAATCCATACTCCTAAAATTGATACAGTTAGGAAGTCTTTCTTGCTCAGCAAATGACAAAACCCAAAGAGTCAGGGGGCTTTTGAAATGCAACATTAAGCATTTTGGATAGCTTTCTTAAAAAATGTTCAAATACAGAAGCACAAGGAAATGAAGAATGGTAGAGGGAAAGGGATTGGGGGGCTGGGGTGGGGGGAGCAGTTAGTCCTGCTGTTGCCCAGGCATCCTGAGAATTAAATATGAACAGTCGCAGTGTGTAATTTTAAATTGTTAATTAGCGCAGGGTTAATTAGGCGGTCCTTTCACAAGAGGTTGTTTGGCAGTAAACCAAGACTGGAAGCAATGGGAAGGAAGGAAAAACAAAGGGAAGAGAGACAGTGAGAAACGGTCCCCTCTGTTAATAACCCATGTGGCATCATGAAGGGAAAAAAAAAAAAGAGCTAAACAGGCAGGAAAGAAATTTCTCAACTGTTTCTCAAGGAAAGAACCCCTGAGGTTCCATCTATTAAAAATGCTCCTCTCCTGGGAAGCCTCCCTCCCAGCATCAGCACTCTGGCATCCAAGTGCTCGTCCTGGAAGCAGAAAATGGGCTCAACAGCACCCAGTGGATATTTCTCTACATTGCAAGGTTACGCAGAGTTGGCAGTCTCTAACACACACACGTGTAGTCAAGTAACCGGAAATGCCGAGCCCTGAAAAAGGGAAATGCTGGCCACTCCAGAGTTCCCAATTCTGCATCCTAGAAGCAGGCGTCTGAGCTTAGGAGAGTGAGTATATGTGCAGGGGGGAGAAGAACCTGGGCTGGGGAGGGCATGATGACAACAGGGCATCCTCCCTCAGCCAAGAGAAAGGCACTCCCAAGAATGATGCTAAAGAAGACGCCTGAATTTGTGAAAAAGGGGAAAGCTGCGCTCTCTGCTATGTTCTACTAACACAGCTTCCAACCTGTCAGCCTTCTCCTCTATTTAAGCTGTTGATGTGGTGGCTAGAGAGGGGGTCCTTAAATCAAGATGACCCCAGTTCAGGTCCCATCACCCTGGGCAAATCACTTAACTGATGAGTGCCCCTCCCCACACCCAGGCAACAGTTTAAGACTAAAAGTTGCAGAGTAGAATTGCTTCCTTCACCAATGAAATCACAACAAATGTTGCTCAAGATAAGCTCATTTCGTTGGGGAAGAATATGCCACCATGGTGCATGCTTTTGAAATGGAGAGGCATCAGGTAGACAGAGCATTTATTAAGTGCTCAGTATGGGCCAGGCACTGTGCTAAGCACTGGAGATACAAGGAAGCAATCCTTATATTCCAACAGGGGAAGACAACATATGAAAGGGGGATGAAAGCAGGGGATAACCCACAGAGGCAAAGGTGGTAGCCTAGGGAGGCATAGGGACAAAGAGAGGATTGCAAAAAAAAAAAAAAAAATGGGCTAGATGTGTACAGAGACTGAAAGAAGACCCAT